ATCAATAAATGTAATAAGCTTTACAAATTAGATAGCCAAAAATATACCATACCTTAAGGTGCGATTTTGAAAATTATGTTGACCCATTGGTACATCCTATATGAAAAAAAGTACATTAGTTATTAAAACATATTTTAAGAATGTTACATCAATAATGATAACTAGTATATTTCTTGTTTTTGCATGGAAAGTGGCAGTTAGATAACAAATGATTAGCAACGTGAAGCAAACCATAAATGTGAATCGGATTTAAAACCCAGTTTGTATCTAGAATGTTGATATAATCTATCAGCTCTAAATACCACGGTATCAGGATCATTGTCTGAGTTTTCAAAATTTGCATCTGATATTTACAAATCTATTTAGATAGGGGCCTGCAGACTGTCTTTATCAGTTGCTGTCAGTGATTTGCAATCAAGCAAAAACAGGCCTCGGTATTGAAACGTTCGGATATCCTTTAGACCATAAGCAGAGCTGTAGAAGCTGTCAGCAGTCTTTGTGGTGTGACTAGGTTGTTAAGCGATGCACCTCAGGCGAAGTAAGTGAAATCAGGAAACTTTGGCTAGAAAGAAGGAATCAACAGACAAATAGTGAAGTTCTAGGAGAGGAACGGAAGAGCCCTGGGAGCATGCACCGCCAAGTATCAGCAAGGGACTTTTTAAAAATCCATATTTATACATTTATAATGAAATTTAAGATAAAAGTTGGAATAAAGAAAGGAATTTTAAAGAAACTTTTCGCTTTAAGAAATGTTTATTAGCTGATTTGAACTTAAAGCTTGCTCCTTCCTTCCTTCCTTCCTTCCTTCCTTCCTTCCTTCCTTCCTTCCTCCTCCTTCCCCTTCCTGTCTCTGTCTCTGTCTCTGTCTCTGTCTCTCTGTCTCTGTTTCTCTCTCTCTCTCTCTCTCTCTCTCTCTCTCTCTCTCTCTCTCTCTCTTTGCAGAGCCGGGGATTGAACTCAGGCCCTTGTGCTTGCCCCGCAGTGCTTATTCAACTGAGTTCTCTCCCCAACTCCTCTCCTCCTGTTTTCAACCTTCCCAGCGCTGGGATTACAGGTGTGAGCCACCATACAGGCATTTTATCGCTGGCTCACTGCACGCCAGGGGCAGGGCTGGTGCAGCATGCAGGACTGGAAATTGGTCCTTGGTCCCTGCATTTGCCAAACCAGGCGCTTAGTCTGCTGAGCTATCTTGCCGGCCCTGAACCTGAAGTATAGATTGGGACTTGTATTTAGACTAAGAAAAGGTAACATTATTTTTAAAGAATTAATTGGACTCCATGCTTTTTTATGGAAAGGAAATAATACAGTATTTAACAGAGTTAACAGCATTCTTCATAGGAAATTAAATAAAATAAATAACTTCTAGTAATGACAGTTATTTAATCCAGAAATGTATCAATAACAATTGTGATAGGATATTTCTGAAAGTGAGTGTGAGACAAAGCCAAGGAAAAGTGGTCTAGGCTTCATGTGCTAATGAAAGACACTGGAGTTCCTAAAAATATCCTTTACTGCTGTCAATGCACCATGCGCCTTTGGACCTGTGACAGAAGACACCAGATTATTAATAAAATTTAGTTCACTCAAAGGTCTTCTCAGGGTTGGGGAGACAGCTCAGTGGTCTAAGTGCCTGCCTGGCAAATGCAAGGACCTGGGTTCGATTTCCGGTACCACATGCCACGCCAGCCCCTGAATCCTAGAAGCACAGTGTTGGTTACTGAAACCAGGCATGGTAGTGCACACCCGTAATCCCAGCTCTGGGGAGGCTGAGACAGGAGAATCACTATGAGTCCAAGCTGCACAGTGAGGCCCTGTACCAAATCAATAAATACATAAATATGAGATTAAAAAAAGGTCCTCTCATTTTATAAACAGTTTTCAGCAGTTGAACGTGATAAATACTCTCAGCCTGTCCAGACCGAGGCACTTCTACCAAAACACTGCAATATTTCAAGTCGGACTGAATTCACTCCTGAAGTTCCTGGGCCAGATAATGAGGAAAACAATCACCTCAAGATCATGCAATGCTGTACACACCCTGACAGGAAATAATAACCACAAAAATAGTTGGAAAATAGTTGGAACACCTTTGTTTCCCAAAGGTATTCAGAAAAGACAGCACAGACAAACATATGCAAATATTTATAAATGATTCATATTTCTTAAAAATCAACCAACCAACCAACCAACCAACCAACCAACCCGTCACCCAACCAACCAGTCAACTAACCAAAAATTGTTGAATAAAAATCCTAATGAGAGACCCAGTTATTGGCAATGAACATTAACAATTAATGCACCGTCCACTCACAATATCCAAATGATTATTTTTATAAGAATAGCAAAAACATTAATTCTCACTGCCTGCTGAAGGAAGTGCTGACTTCTAGGATGCTTCTTTCTGACATATCCTGGGGCTCCCTCTTTAAGCTATTTTCTTCTTTGTAATTGTGCCCAATGCCAGGGCTTGATATGACACCTGAAATGCAGTGACTCTCTTAGCCCCATATCCAGATGGGACCTTTCCCCTGAGTTTAGGACCTGCATGTGCGGCCTTCACTATTTCCTCATTGCACTCAGCTATCTAAAAGGCATTTAAAGCTGTCCCTTAGCACAGGCTTGACCTTTTTATCTTTAATAACTTGGCATTCGCCTTACATTGGTCCATCATCTGTCTCCTCACTCCAGAGCCTGCCCTTAAACATCTCTCAGACCAAACCCTCACCAGGTCTCATTTCTCAGCTTTAGAGACTGAATTTGCTTCACAGATCCTACTGCTGAAGTCTTAGAGTGAGAGGGCATCAATCTCATCAGGACGCGTATATTCTTGATCTCTTATTCCAGAGCATACACATGCTGTACCCCTCTCCTGTTAAAGCCCTACCATGGCTTCGCATTGCCCTTGGAATGAAATGCTAGCTCCTAGCCTCAGTGCTTCTCCCCTGCTGAGCTCCTTTTGATCGCCATTGGTGATTCCAGGCTCAGTAGCCCCCAAGTGCCCCCAGAGGAATCTCATTTATCTCCACCCCAAAGACGTCACCTTCTCTCTCCACTGTTCCTCTCTTTCCCTGAGACTTCCCCACTCATTCCACACAGAGTAGCCGCCTTGTTCACCCCAGTGACTTTCTTCCATTTTGTTTCCAATATGCACTCAACAGCACACAAAATGATCTCATTCACTTTTTCTCTACTCATACTGTCCCTCTACCCCTTAGACTGCAAACTCTAGAGCTTGTCGTGGGACATGCTTGGCTTCCTAACTGGTCGGTGACAGTCTTCTGTTATTTCACTATTTTCAGTTGGAAAACATCAAGGAAGTCGGTCATATCAAGAATGTTAATTAAACCTAAAAAAGAATGTTGAGCTCCTAACTTGGCTTAGAGACGTCACTGTAAGAGCAGGGGTGGGATACAGTGAAAGCGGAAGTGTCACTTCATCTGACAACCTCACATACTTCTCCCCAATAGTGATAT